CCCCCCGCCCAGGTGCCGCTCCGCAAGGGTTACAAAGGCGAGTATTGGCACTCCCAGCTGACCGAATCCGGTCTAGGCCGTTTACAGTGATAGAAGGGATGGGATCTTCGAATCAGCAGGTAGCATCACAAAAACTGCTGCAAGGCATTGACAGTTGAGGAGCTAAAGCTGCAGTTTCACAGAGCGTGAACAACCCAAAGCCAATAATGTATCGGTTAATTGGGACGTGAGGGTGAATATTTTCCTTATATATAGTGAAGGGAATGTTAGGATGCCAATTAAGTAACTAATTGTTCGAAAGGTACGTCCCCATGGGGTCGCTTATCCCTGCGGTTTCCACGGGGAACCCCCAGAATATCCAGCAGTCTGCACCTAATCCAGCTCTGCTCATGCAATGCACAGAGCAGCGCAGAAACCTTACCAGGACCATGCTGAAGGGATGAAAAATATTGCCAGGGCTGTGCAGCAGAGTTAATGGTGGGTGCCTGGCTGTAGTTTCAGCATTCCCTGGCCTTCCCTGCTTGACATCACCCCATTAGAGTTGCGCTTTGATCACGCAGTATCTTGGGCAACACGGGGAAGTTGGAAATACTCGTGCAGTGCCATGTGGCTCTTCAGGTCACAGCCCCTGTCTCATCATAAAGTGACATGAGGTGGCTTGTGCTGAGCTGTGAATGCGTTCCTGCCAAGAGGAAGGGAAAATTAATACAACCTCAGCAATAAAGCCAACCATCCTGCCTCTGAAGTCGTGGGAATCCAGGCCAGCAGGGACTGGAGAGGCTTGGCATGCTGTCCTGCCAGGATGACCGGGTGTCTGGGCAGTGCAGCTCTCCTAAGAGTGTCTCATCTGTTGGTTGCTGATAACAGCGGTGAGCTTTGCAAAGCCTAGGGGTTAGCTTTGCACAGTCTGGCTCTGGAATTGTTTTTATGCAGTTTCCTAAAATCTAGGGATTTCGCTTCTCGCGAAATGGCCTGTGCTTGTGTACATGAGTGGGGGTTTAGACCCGTCAAGTGTTTTGACATGTTCCGTATAGGTACATATGCAGGCATCACACATATCCTTCTTGTCGCTGGTTCAGCCTCCGGGTCCTTCCAAACATGGCTTTTCATCTCCTGTGTGTTTCTGACAGTGTGCCCTGACCACATGGCATCATGGTGATGTTATTTTATTATCTGCTGAATGTGTTCTTATTCCTCCAGGTAACCTCTGAAATCTGATTGCAGTGTTAGATTTCCATTCAGAGAACACCTTTGAAGCGAATACCCACCACAATGGATGTTTCATGCAAAAGCCTCTGGCATGGATATTTTAAGAAAGACGCCAATCAGAATGTTTCATGGCTGGTGGAGCATGTACAGGGGTATTTCTCTCTGCTGGATCTTCCGCCTTAGCTTTGTCCGAGTTTTTGCCCCAGCTTTGCCTGCTAAGCAATTTGAGAACAGGGCATCTTTCTGTTACCTTGTTATTGGCGGGGTGGTTGCTGGATTTGCCATCCTTGGGGGACATTTAGGTCCCAGAGAGATTTGCTTGGGAGAAGGAGCGTCAGGGTGTTAAATACTGGAAAGTTAGGCTGGGGTGGGTTTCCTTGATGCTTGAAAGTTTGATTTTTCAAGGGAAAAGGTGCCAAGTGAAGGTGAAGAAAACAAAATCAAGGGGAACGTGAAGAAAGCAAAAACAAGGGTAGGAGTTATCTCTGAAGTTGATAATTTCTTAAGTTCATGTCACTAAACAGTGCGGTGCAAAGCTCTTGCACAGAGCTGTGTTTGCACAGGAAAAAACCCAAACACAACAAACCAACTAAGAGCTCAGTGCCCCAGCTGTTGGTAGACCGGACAAGCATCCACCTGAACAACATCAGCACAGAAAGCACAAGATGGATGTGTACTGTCATCATGTCACCTAGGAGGATAGCTGCCCCCAGAAAAACATTCTCCATACTGATGGGTTTTCCAAGGAGTTAATTATGTGCTCTTCAATTTGTTGCACTTGATCCCAGATAAATGGGGTGAATAGGACCATTTTGATTTAATGTATTCAGTTGGCTTTCTGTGACAATATCATAGACTCATTCAAAGCCACGTGTTCTGTCCCAGATCTTTCCCCTTTATGTTGCAGACAAAAAATGGAAAAGTAATCTGCATGTGCTTTATTAACTCTCAACGCGACACTCATATTTTAACTTGGTGCCAGTCCAGCCTCCTCAGTGCTGAAAGCGTTTCCATTCACTTGCTCAGTCTTTCCACTGAGAGTATTTAACTTTGCCTTATTTGAATAAAATGTCAGATACTAGTCTTTAGAGAAGGGAAAATGAAAGAAATCTGATTTCAAAAAGAAGAAAATATAACTTACACAATTATTCTTCTGGCAAGATGGAATATCTATTAGAAAATACCCATTTTCTTCCATAAATTATTAAGAACTGGAGGCAAGGAAGATGATAATTACTCAGGGGGCTTCTTAATAGTCTTCGTATCCTGTTAACACATTTCTGATATGAATGCTGAGTCACTGGAAAAGAAAATTGCAGAATGATTTGCATATCTCCTAGAAGTTATCTTCTTGTTAACATCAGGTAACTGATGAAAAAACATGGAAGATTGTAATGATCCTAGCATACAGGCTGCAGGAAGCAATACATAATTAGAAGTTACATCTCAGCGGAGAAGGTCTGTTTCTGCCTTATGCTTAGTGGAATAATCCTCTGTGCTTGGAAGCTAGAATTTATCTGAACTTCAGTCACTTTTCTAAGTAAATGTATATGACTCCCTGAAAGAAAAGAAGTTCCTTTGGTAAGATGATATGTACTTAATATTCTTTTGCTGCCCAGCAGTTAGGTAGGAGTAAGGTTGTGACCCAACACAGATCTTGTGATTAGAAGATGTTAAGAGCAGCAGAATTGACTCAGGGCAGGTTTCACACCAGAAGTGCATGTCTGTATCCTTGTCTTGCAGTAAAGAAGTGTTATATGTGACAGCCTATGTTTGGCCTGGAGAACACAGGGCATAGCTCAGAGCCTCGGGTTCACATAAGAAGAAAGTGATGGTACAGGAAGGAGTGACTGAGTACTTACTACTGTTTCCAGCAGGGCTGGCCTATAGTCTAGCTGCATCTTGGAAGAAACAAAGCAAAACAAGCTGCTGAGCAAAACCTTTGGGGTTGAAACCCTTCTGGCACTCCTTGGTCTTGCTGCTGCTCCAGTGAGTGCTAGCCAGGTGCTTCTGAGATGTACCTGCTGCAAAGGTTGGCCATTGGTCATGACCACCCTAGTGATGGCGACAGGAAACTGAGGTGCTTTTGTGGCTCCAACTATCCAGTTTATCCTCAGCCACTCAGGACTGCCCTGCTACTTGGGTCTGCCTGTGGGAATGTTTCCTCTCTTGAATCTGTGTAAATCAGCTAGGTGAGCAAAGACCTACTGCTAAAAATCCCCAAGTATCCCAGCCACACTGAACTGAAGTGGCAACCTTTGGCACAAGGTCATGGTGTGGGTGGCCCCAGCTTATTCTAGGATGAGAAAGTTTGTTCCCTATCTCCCCAAACTAGCCTAGGCAAAACAGGAGTAGTTTTTATATATAATCAGTAGTGAGTAGGTTTTAAATGAAATAGCCAGTGACTAAGGTAGATAGAACAAACTGCAGCAAAAAGAATTTGGTTGAATGTGGAACAGATTCAACATCAAGAATAGCTTTTAGACAAAGAATGATAAATGCCATTGTCTGATGTTCCTTTTTAAATAATGGAGCCCCCCTGTGAAAAACTGAACTTGCCCCACTCTTGGTGTTCCTCGGAAAGGTATTGAAGACTTGCAGACTCCGACATGTTCATCCTTGGGGATTTTCAAGACTCAGCGAGACAAGGTTAGAGCTTCACTGAACTATGGTTGGCAATAGTCCTATTCTGGGTGGGAGGGAGGGTGAGGGACCTCAGAAGTCCCTTTCAGCTATCATTGCCATGACTTTCTGTCCCTGTCCCTGAAATCCATTCAGAGCTTTCATCTGCTGATTCATACTGTGTTTACATACATCGCCTATCCTCCTGAAATCAGTGGGCATCAGGCACTGGAAGGATGGAGACTTCCAGTGAGAGACAGCCCAAAACTCATGCCTGTGCTAGGAAATTTTACCAGTATCATTTTGCAACATTTCCATACCAACAAAACTCTGGATATACATCTTAACACAGGTATCAAAAACGTACGTGGTAGTGCCATTTATTCCTGTTATTGAAATGGTATCACCTTTGTTGGGAAAGTGGGATCGGCTGGCAGACCTGTGCCAGGATGGGTGTGCCAAAGGTGGAGGATCAACAGGTTGTTATTTGCCAGGTCCTCAGGAACATATCCATGAAACGCAGGCAATTTCTGAGAGTGCAGAAGTGCCTGCATTGCAGTAGAAAGGGCTTCAGTATGTTCCTTAGTCTTCTACCATCTGAAAAAAATTAGGTGGGGATCTGGGTTATAAACCTTAGCAGCATTCTCTGTTATTCTCTGATTCATGGAAAGCATTTGAATTAGCAGATTAACATCTACTTTTGGCCTCTCCCAGTGCCTCAAAGAGTAAGGCCACTGAGCCTAACAAAAACCCACATTATTTCATAAAGATGGGACAAGTGGAGAGCTGTTTTGCACCATTTAGTGAAATGAAGTCTCTTTGCAAACAGGGAGTCAGGCTACTTTGCTAAAGCACGAAAGCAGCCTGGCTGAGGTGGCAGGGCAAGTTGGGAACAAGCTAGGAGACACCAGTTCTCAGCATAAAATTAGTTCACAGTCTCAAAGAAAAGCTAATCTATCACCTCATCTGCTTAAAACAGATACAGGGAGAGGTCCATATGCCAGGAGGATTGAGACTAAGGCACTGGATTGCCTGCTACCTTAAACTGGAGGATGCGGAAGCATGGCACAGAATATCCTCTTTGCCACAGGTTGTGGTGAATGCTAGAAGTTTAAAAACTGAAGAAAAAAAATGGATGAGCAGAGCAAGAAACCATAGGTGGCCTTAATAGCATGAAAATTCCTACTTGAACAGGTTCCTGCAGGCAGGAAGGTGACACAGTCTGGCTATGCATTTGCTCCGGTTTTCTCTTGGCCATCACTGCAAGCCTCTCTTGAAGAGGGGACGCTGGTGAGAGGGATGCTATGGTCACACACAACCTGCAGTTTCATGTGGAGGAGGATGCTCATGTCCACTGAAGCAGCAGGATGGTGCAGGTGGCTTGCCAGCGCTGCTTCAGGCAGTCTGCGCTTGGGCACGTCCCCGCTGTGCGCGTGCCATCCATGTGAGTCTGTTGCCCTAAGTATGGGAGTGTGTCTTTCCACCTAATTACTGGGGTAAAAGCAAGCAACACCCTTGAAGGAACAAAGCACAGCACCATCAGAAATGCTTCTGAGCTGCTTTTCTGTGCGTCAGCCTGGGGTGGCTCTGCTGAAAGCCTCTTTGCTAACGCACAGGAGGGCCCTTGCTTCTGGTGAGACTGGGAAATACCCTAGAAATGGTTTGGCACTTGCTAACTGGCCATTTCTGCCAGCTGGGAAAGATCTGATTTTCCTGAATGCTTTTGTCTCCCTGACAATGATTCCTGCAGGGAAGAAGTGAGCAGCACCGAGCAGACTAATGAGCTTTTGGTGTAAATCTGGGTTTGTTGTGCATGGGGGATTGGTTCCAGTTGACAAGCTGCCTCCATGGCCAGGTCCAGCACACCGAGCTATGCCATCACCTCTAATTTTGCTAGACTCCTCCAGGCTGTTTTCGTAAAGGCTGGGTTCAAAGGTTCACAGAAAGATGTGGAGGAAGCTCCTTGTCTCATCACATTCCCTCACCATCCTGTCAGTGGCATTCCCACCCCCACACCAATAAGAGATTGCTCTGGGGACCCTATCTGTCACACACAGCCCATGAATCATTCGCTTCAGCTGCGCTCCTACATTTGCAATCTCACGTAGCCCAGAAGACAGGATCCAGGCCTCAGGGATTCAATTATGTACATGCTGCTCAGTCTGTCCTTCCTTGATCCCGCCATGCCCATTCATTTTGCTCC